AAATTCCTTGTGGGATTGGATCTGGTGTTGTTTTTTCAATGGGGGCATTAGATGAAGGTCATTTGAATCTGGAGCTTGAGATTGGAATGAAAAATGGCTTCATTGAGCTTGCTTTTGAGCATCAACCTGAGACTTTAGCAATCCAAGACGCTGTCAAACTTCTCTTGCAAGGTCTTGGTGAGGATGTCAATCGAGAAGGCATCAAAAAGACTCCTTTTCGTGTCGCTAAGGCCCTTCGAGAAGGCACCAGAGGTAAATGTTGCTGCTTTCTTATGATTCCAATCTGATTAGCTATAAAGTAACTGTTTTTTTGTTTGGGTTAGTGATGTAAGTTAGATGCAATGGAATGTTGAAAGTATTATTGAAGTCATGTTTCTCTCTGGTGGCTTCTTTTCTCAGGTTATAAGCAGAAGGTGAAGGACTATGTACAGAGTGCTCTGTTTCCAGAAGCAGGGTTGGATGAAGGAGTTGGGCAAGCAGGAGGAGTGGGAGGACTTGTTGTTGTGCGAGATCTCGATCATTACTCTTACTGTGAATCTTGCTTGCTTCCTTTCCATGTGAGGTGTCACATAGGTTATGTCCCATCTGGAAAACGGGTTTTGGGGCTGAGCAAGTTCTCCAGAGTCACGGATGTTTTCGCCAAGCGGCTCCAAGAGCCTCAGCGTTTGGCTGATGATATATGTTCAGCTCTTCAACATTGGGTGAAGCCTTCTGGAGTCGCTGTTGTTCTCCAATGCTCTCACATTCACTTCCCGAGTGTGGACTACGAGTCTCTGGACTCGTTGAGCCGCAATGGATTTGTGAAGCTACTGGTTTCCTCGGGGTCAGGAGTTTTCGAGGATGAAAGTTCGGATCTTTGGGGTGAGTTTCTGAGTTTCTTGAAGTTCAAAGGCGTTAAAACGCAAGCTTTGTGTAGAAACGGTGGCACTGTGAAAGAGTGGTGCCCGGGCGTTAAAAGCTCGTCTAAATTCTCACCTGAAGAAGACCCGGAAATGGTTTCTGCGGTCGTTTCCATTCTGAAATCATTAGGAGAAGATCCGTCGAGGAAAGAACTCATTGCTACACCCACTAGATTCCTCAAGTGGATGATGAACTTCCAAAAAGCCAACCTCAAAATGAAGCTAAACGGCTTCAACTGTGTCAAAGTCAATGGCGAGGTCAAGGAGAAGAGGCTGCACTGTGAACTGAACATACAGTTTTGGTCAATGTGTGAGCATCATTTGCTTCCTTTCTATGGAGTTGTTCACATTGGCTACTTTTGTGCTGAAGGATCCAACCCCAATTCTATTGCAAGCTCACTCATAAAATCGATTGTACACTTTTACGGGTTTAAGCTTCAAGTCCAAGAGAGGATGACTCGACAGATTGCTGAGACGCTATCTCCTCTCGTTGGAGGGGATGTGATTGTAGTGGCGGAAGCCGGGCATACTTGTATGATCTCTAGAGGAATTGAGAAGTTTGGAAGCAGCACCGCAACCATTGCGGTGTTGGGTAGGTTTTTGAGTGACAATTCCGCTAGAGCCGCGTTTCTAGACAAGGTCCATACGACAACTGCCTTAAAGACAGATTCAATCTCCCCAATTTGAGAGGTTTTCATG